TTTATTCAGAAAAGAAAACACCAGTGATTTTTATCTGTACAAAGTCGAGAGATTTATTAGCATAATTTTTAACATATTGAATTTATTTTATATATGATATCAAGAGAAGATGTGAATTATAATTTTTTTTCATTATTTAAGTACTTTGCACAAAGAAGACACTAAGCTCTTTTTTCATACTTCTGACTAGTAAAAATATGAAAAAGAAAATAATTTAACTGACGATTTCAATTTAAAATCGATTTTTTAAAATTTCTAGAGAAAAAAAAATATTATTAATTTAAAAAAAATTTTTTTTGAATCCGTAAACGGTTTTAATAATTATGTTGTTTATTTAGGAAAGAAAAAAATGTATGAAAAAAAATATAATTATAACAATAATAACAATACTAATAATAATAATAATAATAATAATAATAATAATAATAATAATAATAATAATAATAATAATAATAATAATATAATTATAATAATAATATTAATTATAATAAAAGCAATAAATAATAGCAACAATAATAATAAAAATTTATAAATTAATCAATTACTTAATATCTTCGATTTTTATGACTTTCTTCCTTATTATTTTTTAAATTTATTTGTCTTTACTTTTATTTAGTTTAATTATTATTAATTATTCATTTATATTTGTTAATTATTTATTTCCCTATTTACTTATTAATTAATTTTTAATTCATTAATTTGGTTATTTTATTATTAATCATTTTCTTCTTTTGTATTTATTTTTTGTTTATTAACTGTAATACAAATCATTTTAGTTTAAAAAAATATTTTAACCGGATGAATAAAATTATAATAAAAAAAATTAAATTATAAATTCTTGTTTAAAAAAAAAATTGTCTCTTGATTTTTCTTTCTAAAAAGTACTTTTTCTTCTCTCATTTTTATTTTTATTTTTTAATTTTACTTTTATATTTACCACATTTCAAAGTAGATATACAACAGACACGTCGTGTTTGTTTCGCGCGTCTCAAGATTAACTCTATTTTCAGCGAATTTCAGTTGGAATTGTGGAGACGCGCCTAACCATGTTCGGAACTTCAAAAAGGAGAAAAGAAAAATTAACAAACAAAAAAGTAGAAGTAAAAAAAAATCATTGCAGACAGTCTACGAGAAGAGGATAAAAAGGAAATTTCGTAGAGGAAGTTTCCAACATTGAAAAAGAAAAAGAAAGAATAAAAAAAAAATTTCAAAAGCATCGCCAGACATACAGCTGAAAAAGCGTTTAGAGAAAATATTTTCTTAAATTTTAAATAATCATTTTTTCAACATAGTAATAATAATGATAAATATCCTATTTGTATTTTATTATTATTTCTATTTTTATTATTATAAATTTAAAAATTGCATTAAACGAAAAATCTTTTTTAAATAATTACGTAAAGAAAATAATTATTTTTAACTGTATTAAAAAAATAAAATAAATAATAATATTTAGTACAATTAAATAATACACAAATTAAATAATACAAAAAACACTAAATATTAATTAAAATTATTTAAATAATGAAAAAATGAATTTAAATATTAAAAACATAAAATAGAATGTTACAATTACATTAACAAACAGTTTAATGATAAATATAATAAGAGAATACAAAAAATTCAAACAATAATAAATAATTTAATTGATATACTTTAATGTATTATAAATTAAAATTTATTTGTACTGTTACTACTATTATTTATTATTATTATTTATTTGTTACTATTATTATAATCAGTATCTTTATCAATTATTGTAATTAATATTATTATTACTATTACTTTATTTTTAATACTAAAATTACGATACTCTTAAAATATAATTATAAATTTCACTATTAATATTATATGATTCTTATTGTTCCTATTAATTTAAATATAAAATATATATAATTTAATTAATATATTACTTAATATATACAATTTACAATTTAAAGGCAATAAATTTTAATTAACAAGAAAATTTAAATTAAGAAAATTTTGTTACTTTAAAGAATGAAAAATTTATAAATAAATATATTTTTATTTAAAAAAAGCAAATATTAAATGAAACAACACAAAAAAAATTTCTCTCAACAAATACTGTACGCCTGTTATGCATTACATTTGACTTTTCCATTCAAATTTAAAATCACTTGAATTAGTTAAAAGAACGATATATATTCATATTGTACAAAAATTTGTCCTCGCGTATTTCTATTCAAAAAAACAGATTTAAGTATTTTACATGAACAAAAATATATTGCCAAACGACTCTTTTCATTCCGGAAAAAAAAGTATTTTCTTTTGTACTACAAATTATTTATATTTAAATAAAAATATGTGGAAAGTATTAACAATTAATTCAAAGAAATTTTTAATTATTTAAAGTTTATATTAACCTTTTTATTATCATAATTATTTTTCTTATTACTAAATCATAAATTTCAAGAAGTATTTTCATAATTATTACTCTTTAAAATTATCATTAATATTATATGTTTATATTACTTGATATTAATATATTATTGTATGAAGTTGAAGTCCACAACGTTGATCAACGAAAAAAATTTATTTAAATTCAATTATTATTTATAATTTATAATATTTAATTGTAAAACAATTATCAATGAAACACAAACATCAATTTTTTTTTCTAAATATTTTTGAGGCAATATTGTTGCGTTATCTATAATTAATTTCCTTAGTAAACAATTTTTTTTCGCTGATCAACGTTGTGGACTTCAACTTCGTATTATTGTTTATTATTACTTTACAATGTAATTAACTATTTTTTATTATTTAATTTAATAGAAATCTGACAATTTACGTTAATTTTTAAATTATAAATTATATTTTGTTAATAATATAATATAGTTTAAAATATTTTTTTAAATTAAAGTATAAACTGTGATTTTAATATTAATAAACATTTAATTTAATTACAAAATTAATATTCAATAGTATTAATAAATATTTATATGTATCTTTAATGAAAATAATATTAAAAACATCTATCAATCAAAAATAACTAATAAAATTGAATGAAAACATATAATATAAATAATAAAGGTTCATAACTGAATAAAAATAAAGGGTAACAAACAAATGAATAAAATGATTACCTTATAAGAAAAATAGTAACAATAATAATAATATTAATAAATGAATAAAAATAGAGCAATAAAAATAATTGAATAAAACGATTACGTTATAACAAAAGTAGGAACAATAATAATATTAATAAAAGTTAATAATAATAATAATAATAATATATTAATAAATAAGTAAAAAATACAAAAATAATACTAAGAATTAAATAAATAAATAATAAACTCAATAAAAAATAATTGAATAAAATGATTACGTTATAATAAAAATAGTAATAATAATAATAATATTAAAAGTTAATAATATAATAGTAATAATATACTAATTCATAAATAAAAAATACAAAAATAATAAGAATTAAATTAATAAAGACTAATAACTGAATAAAAATGAGTATAAAAAATATTTGAATAAAATGATTAGGAAATAACAACCAGAATAGTAACAATAATAATATTAATGGAGAGTATTAATAAATAGAAAACATAAAAATATTAATAGAAAATAATTATTTTTGTATACAAAAAAATAATAAGTGAAATAAACGTAAGTAAACAAAAAATATATAAAATTAAAAATAAATAATTTCATTTCATAAAAAAAAATTTCTTCTAAAAATAATTATCTTCAGTAGTATAGTGGTCAGTATCACCAATTTTTTTCTTTAAAATTATAATCTTCAGTAGTATAGTGGTCAGTATCACCATTTTTAAAAAATAATAATCTTCAGTAGTATAGTGGTCAGTATCACCATTTTTTTAAAAATAATAATCTTCAGTAGTATAGTGGTCAGTATTACCATTTTTGTCTTTAAAATAATAATCTTCAGTAGTATAGTGGTCAGTATCACCAATTTTTTTTTCTTTAAAAAAATAATCTTCAGTAGTATAGAAGGTCAGTATCACCATTTTTTCTTTAAAATAATAATCTTCAGTAGTATTTTCAGCACTACAGTGGTCAGTATCCCTCAATAACATTATGATTTCATAAAAAAAAATAATTTTCAGTACCCTCCCATCTTGCTTTTTAAAAAAATAAATCACACACTCAAAAAAAATCCTACATCCTAAAATAACAAATCTTCGATAGTATAGTGACCAGTATCACCATTTTCAGCTGGTTGTCGATACACACGAAAGAAATATACGATACGGGGAAAGAGAGTGTGGGGGGCGGGGAGGGAGGGCTTTGAAGAAAAAAATCAAAGAAACTGGATCTCAAAGAGTGGTATGGGGAAAAGTTAAAAAATCTCGAACAGGTCCTTGAAGTAAGAAAGATGCATAGAGAGAGAGAGAAAGAAAGAGTAAAGTAAGTAACTGACAGAGAGAGAATACCAGAAAAACACTTGTATTAAAACGAAAGAGCAAAAAAAGAAAAAGAAAAACGGAGAATCAAAGACGAAACGAGAAACTTGCCCTAACCAAAACTGACACAAAACAAGATCTCAACAACACCATAAAACGATAATTTCTTACTCCCCATATTTTTCATCTGATCCAATCTCTCATTATTTTTCTCTCCAACACATCGATTAATAACACGACACTAAAACTTCCAATAAAGGTTAGGTTTTCAATATACAGCAGCATATTAGAAAACGCCACAAATTCCTTCAACGATACACAAAAATTTATATTTAGAGAAAAATAGAATGAGAGAGATAGAAAGTAGAAATAAACACTTGGTCACATTTTTATTCCTCCAAAAATAAAAAAGAGAAAAAGTATCCTTCTGAGCACGAGACATTTTTTTGTGATTGTAAAAACACTGTGATGATTGGAGAGAGAGAGAGAGAGAAACACACACACTTACACATGAAAACTGCGAAAAAATTATTAATCCAAATTTTTCGATGTTTTCTTTTTGAAAGAAAAGGTGGGAGGGGTGGGGGGGGGGGAATTACTCACCGTTTAATATATTCACAAAAAACACGATTAGGCCAATCCACAGGCCGTATTTACGTCCCGGGGAAGCGGAGAGCGCAGCCATTTTCTACACTTGGGAGCACATACTTCACTGTGACGTTATAGCAGAGAATTCACGGCGTTAAACCACCAAGGCGCAAGGCACTACCGCAACCAACATCGGCAACTTTCGTTCTGAGTTCGGAAATTCAAGTTGGAGATGGTGGTGGCGGTGGTGGTGGTGGGAAGATCATGGTTTCGTTTCGGTCTCAGACTCAGGTCTATATCTATATATATACGCATGTATCTATATATATAGCTAGTGTGTGTGATAGTAAATGCAGAATGACGAGAATCGCGCTCGCGCAGAGGGGATGAAAAAGTCAGGGGCGTTTGCCAAAATCTCCACCTCCCCTTTTGCAAAAATAATAATAATAATAATAGTGATAAAAATTTTAACTAAGAAGACAAAAAAAATTTTAAATTACATAAAAAATAAGAATAGAAATAATATTATTTTTTTTGCTGCTCTGCAAGCGGTAACATTTTTTTAACCCCAAAATTTCTAACCTGAAAATCTTAGTAAAAAATATTAAAATACTTTTTGTTTTAAAATATTTTTATATTTTACATACATTTTAATTAATTATTAATTAATATTATCAATATTGTTGTTGTTATTATTATTATTATTATTATTATTATTATTATTATTATTATTATTATTATTACCATTATTATTACTAATATTATTAATTAATATTTTATATTTTTAGTTTTTATTATTATTTATAAATATAGGATTCGCACTCATCTACTAAAACCTACTATTTACTACTTTTTCTTCGAATTGCTACTATTTGTATACTTTTTTATGCGATTCAATTGAATTATTATTTTCTAGAATTATTTTTAACTAAAATTTATTCTATTCTCATATTTTTCAAATATGAATTCTCCTAGAGAATTTTATAAAATTATTGGAAATAATTGAATTCTTCTAACGAATTTAAATAAAATTTTTAAGAATAATTTTTTTATTAAATAAATTAAGTAATTGCAATAATTAACTAATAATTGAAATTCTGCGATAAATTTTATTATTTATGAAAATAATTTAATCTTTGTAAAAAATTTTATGATTTTATAATTTTTTCATGTAATATTAGCAGGGTTGCTAATGAAAACATTTTCAAAATTATTTCCATTATTTCAAGCCAAATTATTATTTTCAAGAATTTTAAAACTAAAATTCTTCTTTAATTCAATTATTTTTAATAATTTTTGAAAAAGTTCTTTTTGATAATTTTCAAATCCATTTGTTTACAATACAATTTTACGAAATTTCATCGATTATTTGGAAATTCTTCAATTGTATATTGGAAAATAAAAACTTAAAAGAATTTTAAAAAAATTTAATTTACAGTTTTTCGAAACAATTAGTTCTACAGAATTGTTAGTTAAAAGTATGAAAAATTCAAATTTTTTAAGAATTTAATTTGAAATCTTTTTAAAATTCAATTATTTCCAAAAATTCACGCTATTATTCTTTTAACATTCAATTATTATCTAAAATTTAAATACAAAAAATAAATAATTTATTAAATGATTGAAATGATTATTAAAACTGAATTCTCATAAAGAATTTTATAAACAAATTTTTAAATAATTGAATTCTTTTGACGAATTTTAATAAATTTTTTAAGGATAATTACATTTTTCAAGGAATTCGATTAAAATTTTATTAAAAATAATTGAAATTCTGCGAAGTGTTTTATTATTTTTGAAAATAATTTAATTTCTAAAAAGAATTTTATTATTTATGAAAGTAATTAAATTCCGAAAGAGAATTTTATTATTTATGAAAATAATTGAATTCCTAAAAAGAATTTTATGATTTATTAAAATAATTGAATCCCTGTAAAAAATTGTATTATTTATATGAAAATAATTGAATTATTGCGAAGAAATATTTAAAATTTTTATAAATAATTGAATTCCTGTGAAATTTTTATTATTTGTGAAAAAAATTAAATGTTTACGTAGAATTTTATTAAAATTTTGTTTAAATAATTGAATTCTTTTGGAAAACTTTATTAAAATAGTAGATATTTGAAAATCATTGAATTGGGGAAAATAATTTTCAAAAATAATTGTAATTTTACCAAGAATTTTATTAAAATTTTTGAAAATAATTGATTTTCGGAGAAAAATTTATTATTTTATTGTTTATTAAAAGTATAAAAAATTCAAATTTTCAAAGATTTTAATTTGAAACCTTTTCAAAATTCAATTATTTCTAAAAATTCACGCTATTATGCATTTAATATATTCAATTATTATCTAAAATTTTAACAGAAATTCATTTTTAAATCAATTTTGATTGTGGAAAATTTTACAAGAATTCCGGAGAATTCAATTATTTATTGAATAATAATTAAATTTTTCTTAAAATTAAATTCTCATAAAAAATTCAAAAAATTAATTTTTAAATAATTGAATTCTTTTAACGAATTTTAATAAAGTTTTTAAGAATAATTACCTTTTTGGAGGAATTCGATTAAAATTATATTAAAAATAATTGAAATTCTGCGATGTGTTTTATTATTTTTGAAAATAATTGAATTCCTAAAAAAATTTTATTATTTTTGAAAATAATTGAATTATTGCGAAGAAATTGTTAATTGGATTCCTGTGAAATTTTTATTATGATATTGAAAATCATTAAATAGAGGAAATTTTTTTTGAAAATAATTGTAATTTTGCCACGAATTTCATTAAAATTTTTGAAAATGATTTTTTTTTTTGTAGAATAATTGAAAGTTTTTCAAATGAATTCTCCTAGAGAATTTTATAAACAAATTTTGATATAATTGAATTCTTTTCACGAAATTAACAAAAATTGTTAAGAATAATTTTTTTATTAAATAAATTAAATAATTTAAATAATGAAATAATAATTAATAATTTTTCGAGAAATGCGATTAAAATTGTATTAAAAATAATTGAAATTCTGCGATGAATTTTATTATTTATGAAAATAATTGAATTTCTAAAAAAAATTAATTTTTTTATGAAAATAGTTGAATTTTTAAAAAAATTTTATTAGTGTTCGAAAATAATTGAATCTATTTGTAAAAAATAGAATTTTTAAAAATTTTTGAACCTTTTTGTATTTTTGCGAAAAATTTTATTACTTTTGAAAATAATTTAATTTCTGCCATCATTTGTAACATCTCCAAAATTCAATTTCTTTTGTGTTTTTAACTAAAATTCTTCTATAAATTCATTATTTTTAATAATCAATTACATAAAAAAAATTTAACTAATTTCAGAAGAATTTGAATAATTAAAATTTTTTAAAAAATCAAAAATCTTTAAAATTTCTAATTAAATTCATTCGAAATTGAAATTTTAAAAAATTAATTAAAATTGAAAACTTTCGAATTTGATCTCTTTTTAAATAATTGTAAACCCTACACATTTAAAATTCAATTAATTTTTAAATATTTAAGATTATTCATTAAATAATTTCTAATATAATAATTTTATGATAGTTCTTCAAGATTGAAGTTATTTAAAAATAAATTATTGTCAGAAATAAAAAAATTTGAAGGTTTTGTATTAAAATTGGTGGTAATTTCATTGTTTATGAGGCAAACAAAAAAAAAAATACCAAAATTCAAAATTTTCTTATGAATTTAAAAATATAATTTTTTTCCCGTACTTTTCATATAAAAATCCCTGACTTGCCTGACCTATGGCAATCCTTGTTAGGTTTTTTCTAACCCCATTAGGTTAGAAAAGGGATTTTATTTTTCAAAATTGTGTAAAAAAAAGGTTTAAAAAAAAATTAAAAATTATTGTATCCAGAGTAAACTTTATAATATCGGTAGAAAACTTCATTAAAAATTAGTAAAATATATAATTTTAATTTAGTAAAATTTATTCTGGAAATGATTCAATTTGTCAAAAATTCCAAACAATTTGGATTTTTCTTAACAGTAAAAGTTATTTTTTAATAAAAACAATAAAAAAATGTGCAACAATCTATAAAAAGATATAATTATTAATTAATTATAATAGTAGGCATGTAGTATCTAATATTTTTAATAATAATGATAGTAATGGAAATAAAAGATAATTTCTGTTATTATAATTATTTTTAATATCATTTAAATAATAATAATAATAATAATAATAATAATAATAATAATAATGTAAATTTAACTGTAAGCTTAAAATTTAAATTTAAATTAAATTCTTAAAATTATTATTTAATTAAATAATTATTATTGTTTTTAATATTATAAGAATAATAAAATATAAAAATATAATGATTATTTATATTAGATTATTATTAAAAAAATGATATTTTATTTGTTTTATATTTTATTAATTATATAAGATTTATTTATTTTGATATTATTGTTTTTATACTGTATAGATGTGTATGCGGAGGTATATACATATATATACATATATGGGTATATAGAAAACGTATGTACGGAGGTTAAGGAACATATACGATCCTGAGACGGAGGCGTCAGCGATGGCGGGAGAGTGCAACGGCGCCCTGTGGGCGCCAGAGAGCCGAGACTTAGAGCCTAACCGAAGATCTTTTTCTTTCTTTCCTACTCGCCGCGCGACTTACTCCCTCTGCTCCGTTGAGTCCCAATATCCTCTCTCTTGCTTCAATTTGCTACTCTGTTGATCGGTCGGGCCTTCTTTTCATATACCTATATATGTACAGTATACATATACATATAAACCAGTTGATATACATACGTACACACAAATACAATTTTTATCATCAAATTTCGATTTTTCATGATTTCGAATCATCAAAGAGAAGAAAAAAAGCAAAAAAAAAAACAAAAATGTTGCGTAACAATTTAAATTACTATTGCCCCTATACTCCTAACTAATAGTTACTATTAATGTCCCTATTGCCCCTAGTCACATACAGGTGTTGCTACTATTACCCCTATTCAGTTATTCACTGACAAGAACTGCTATTATTGTCCCTATTTATCATCATGAATTTCTACTACTATCCCTACTAATTAATAATTCTTATTTATCAACATGAATTTCTACTACTATCCCTACTAATTAATTCCTATTTATCTACATGAGGTACATGTACAACATAACATAACATAACATGTGCATGTTGCCCCTATTTAATAACAAGAATTTCTACTATT